CGCAGACTGGCCTGGTCGAAGGCAGCCTGCGCCCGGCGGAGGATGACACCCTTGCACGAGACGGGCTCCTCGAGGAGTGGCTCACGCTCAGGCGGCGCCTCAGCGGCCTGGGCCTTGGCCGCCAGCGCGTCGAGCTCGGGACTGTCCCCCAGCTGCGAGCGAAGGTACTCGACGTACGAAGTGGCGGAGGGGGCGTCGCGGTCCTGCAGCGCCCAGCCGCCAGCCACGCGCCCCCAGGGCTGCCGCGGAGGGGCCTTATCCTGCGCCTTGGCCTTGGGCTGCGGCGAAACGCCTGGGCCCTTGAGACCCTTTCCGCCCTTGCCATGCAATTTGCCCCCCCCCGTCACCTCCGGCCTCCGCGTTGGCCAAGGCGGGAAGAGGCGGCAGCGGCGGGGGCCCATTCTCCCACTGCCCCGAAACACGCGGTCACTCTTTGGGGGATGGGACCAAGTCGGCGCCACAAGAGTAGCACCAACTGTTCTTCTTGAAGTTCCAGCGGAACGAGCACGCCGGACAAGAGACATACTTGGTTTTCCCCATCGAATCGTGGCGGCAGATTGAAAAGGAACTGCCTGGGGCGAACCAGGCGCACACGACCACGCGTGGGGCTGACCACGCGCAGTTCCAGCCTGGGGCGGACCAGGCGAAAGTTGATAGCGAGCTCGGGAAACAGAGCTATCCCGTTCAGGCACGGAGGCGCGGAGCCCCCACGTGCAGAAGTCTTGAGCCAAAATGGCTTGAGCCAAAATGGCTACGGCGGGCACCCCCCAGGAAGCCACAGAAAGCTCCCAGGGAGCCCAGAGGGATGCGGCATGACGGACCCCGAGAAAAAATGTGACTCTCTTGTCTTGCAGGCCCCCCCATCCTCCCCACGCGCGGTGGTCGCGTAGCGATGTGTCCGCGTACGCGGCGTGCTGCGATGCATGTCGCCGAAAAATCCGCGCGCGCGTGTGCAGTCGCGCAGCGAGGCGCCACCACTTTCCGCAGATCGACGCCCCTGCGCCGACATGCCGCTCCGCCGACGCGACGCGCGAGCCTTCCCCGCGCGGTCGAGCGCCGCCAGTTCGCGCGAGGAAGCTGCACGGCGCCGCGCGCCAGCCCCCGCGTGCGAATTTGCCACCCGATACAGCTTGAGCAGGGGCCGACCGCCCTGGCATTCCTATAGTCCTACCACGAAATGCTTTTGAAACCAAAAACTGTTGTAAGAACACAAACAGTGTTCTTAGAACATACACCCGATGTGCTAAAACAAGACAGACCCCGCCAGAAATGTTCTAAGAACATGTCGTGGACACCACACAAGGTTCCTAGAACATCGTTTGGCAGGGCTCTAGGCGAGCCGGGACGCTTCGCCACAGCTTGAAACACAATCACCGATGCGGCGCGCGAGCGCTCATCTGCGCGCGCGAGCGCTGCACAGTCGCGAGCGCCACCCAGTCGCGCGAGGAAGCTGCTCTTGGCCCCGCGCGCCGACCCCCGCGCGGAAATCGCGTGCCGAGACCGCGCGGCGGCGCGGCGGGCGAGGCCCCGTCCGTGCGCTCCGGCGCGGCTCGGGCTGCGCGGTGAGCGGCTATACGCAGGAGTGACCCTGGGCAAGAGTGACCTGTGGTGCGCGGCTCTGTGGGGGGCGCGGGGCGGCCGAGTCCAGGCCCGCTCGCCGCTGCTACAGTCGGGCGTTGACCTAAGGAACCCTGAATAAGGAACGAGGCCCCTTTTTTCCATAAGTTAGACTTCGATTCCTATCGAAAACATAAGGAAAACCTGAGGCAAGCTGTGAAACACTTAAGGAACGCGGAGCCCCTCCTCAACCAAAAGGGTTCCTTCTTCAGGGCCCCGACTGTACCGCTTCGCGTTCAGCCATCTGGGGGCCCATCTGTGCCCGCACCAGAGGTCACTCTGGCGAAAGATCGCTCGTACGTCTAGTCGAGATGAGCATGTCTGGCGCTGCGCGCCGACCCCGACGCGAGGATCTGCGTTCCGAGATTCTCGCCGCTGCTGCGCGCGAGTCTTTCCCTGCGCGCGCGAACGCTGCACAATCGCGCGCGGAGCCTGCTTGGCGTCGAGCGCCGGCCCGCGCGCGAAAATCGCGCACCGGGAATGCCACGGATGCGACGCGCGAGTCCGTGCCCTAGGAATCTTGGCGTGGCCTGAGGGTTCCCGAGAATGCTTCTCATTTTGCACGCAGCCCCCCGCCCCCCACCCACACCCTGCGCGATGGTCGCGTTGCGATACGCCCGCATATGCGGCGTCGTACGACATTCGTCGTTCGTCGTCACTAATTCGTCGTCGTTCGCTGGCCGTCGACAGTCATCGTCCTGTCCACCATTCGTTGTTCGTCGTTCGTCGGTGATCGCTCGTCGCTCGTCGCTCTTCGTCGTCGTCGTCGTCGCTCGTCGGTCGTCGTTTGTCGTCCGCCGCCCGTTTGTATTCATTTGTCGTGGTCGTTCGCCGCCGTCGTCCTTCGCCTGTAATCGCGCAGCGATGCTTCCGCGAGGAAGTGCGACGCAAGTCATCTTCCCCCTTCTAAGGGGGGGGCGGCGTTGGGGCGGGGAGGCAAGGGAGCCCACTCTCGGGCGCAGCCGAGGCACACGAGCATCGCGAGCGCGCACCAACGCATCCCACCCCCAACAACCCAGTTTTTGGGGGGGGGGATGCGTGCGCGCATTTCATGAATCTCTCTCTCTCTCTGTCTCGCTTCCTCGTCTTCTTCTCTCCCCCCACAGGTTCCCCAAAGGGTTTCCACAACAGCCGGGTGAACGCATAGTCCGATAGCATGGCCGAGCTCTGGCCGCAACTTTCGGCCACACTGACGATTTCAGAAGGCAGGGAGCGGCGATGATTCGCCGCACGCGTCTTCGATGCGCCGCCCCCTTCTGCTTGCAGAGGGGTGCCCGGCGTGCCAGACGTCAGGTTGGTTTTCATCTGTGTTGCAAGACTCCCAGTGGGGTCTCGGCCTAATGCGCTAGCCGCCCAGAAAGCCGCGCAAACTTCGGTCTCCATTGGCCGCTCCATCCCGTACGTAGGGGCCCGCCAACGTTCCAGGTCGTCGGGCGTCGGGCTCTCCGCTCAAGACGGCGGACCCAGGATGGCCTCCTAGACGGCCAAGGGAGCCCAGGATTAGCCCAAGACGTTTCCAAGACAGGCCGAGATGCCCACAAGATGGCCTCAAGATCGCCCAAGGCGGTCTAAAAGGCCTGCAGGACGGCCCAAGAAGCCTCCAAGAGGACCTCCAGGAAGGCCCGAAGAGGCCAGCATCATGCATGTTCTTAGGCTTCTGACAGCTGCCCGCGATTGCAAAGGCGGTTCCAGGGGCCACCAACATTGATCCAAGAGAGCCAGAGAGGTTTCCGAGATTGCCCCCTGAAGGCCCAAGATGTCCCCAAGATGGCCACGGAGACGTCCAAGATTCCCAAGAAGGCCTCCAAGACCGGGAGCTTTCCAAGAGGGCCCCAGATCGGCCCAGAAAGGCCCCCAAAGACGGCTTCCGACGGCGTCAGACGCGTCAGGAGCGCCCTCAGACGGCCAGAGAAAAGAGCACTCCAAGGAGCCTTCAAAGGCCCACGGAAGCCCCCAAGATGCCTGCCATAAGCTCCCAGTACGCTCCCAGTAAGCTCCCAGGAGGCCCCAATGCCCCAAGAGGCTCCAAGAGGCATCCTCCTCCGTGTTCCTCCCTCTCCCGCTCTTCTTCTTCTTTCTCCCCCCCAGAGGTTCCCCGAAAGGGTTTCCACAACCGCTGGGAACACGTAGCCCGATAGCATGACCGAGATCTGGCCGCAACGTTCGGCCACATAGGCGCTTTCGGAAGGCAAGGGGCCGCGGCGATTTGCCGTAGACGTCTTCGATGAGTTCCCTCTGAGAAAAGAATCGCGAACTCCAATGCCCGAACACACATGGTTTCACCCACCCGCCCGCAACTTCTTGGCACAACCCCACTGACACAATGACGGGCGTACCCTTCAGATGAAGATCGATGCCTCGGGCTGGCGAGTGATGACGGTGACGACGACCTCGGCGACGACGACAACGACGTCGCGATGATGATGGTGGTGATGATGACAAAAGCGACGGCAACCCCGATGATGATGGTGATGACGACGGTAGTGATTTTTGTTCTGTTCCGCTGTAGAATATCAACTGCACCCATCTAATGAATCAGCGCCTCATGGTGGCGCCTCATGTGATCGCTCTCGTGGATTCAACCAACGCGAAAATGGAGGGCAGCACCCTTCTGTTGCAGGGGAGGCATGCCGCTGCCCCCCAAAAAGCTGAGTCAGTACTGAGTGCGCGTTCGCGGCGTCACGTGCAACTAAGGGGTCTGCGATCAATGCATGCAACTTGAAGTTGCCCTGGAGGACTCGAGCACATGTGGCTGTCATCCATCGGCATCGCACGCCATGGACGCGCGCTTGATAAATTAGAGATTGAAAATGCGACGGGAGCCCCGGCGGGTCCGCGCCTACCGTGGCCCACTGCTACAGGTGCTCTGGAGAACGCATGGAGCACGCAGGAGCAGCCGGTGCGGGTGCGCCAGCAGAGGAGCTCCGTCGGCCTGCCTCGAGGGCGCGCCCAGGAGGCCGCAGAACCTCCGAGACGCCCCGGAACCTCCGAGGAGCTCCGCCAGGATTTTGAGCGCCCCGCATCTTCCTTGCCGCCCGTCGGCGGCTGAGCTAGAGCGGCTGAGCGGCGCAGACGGCCTGGCACCCCCAACCCTGGTCTGGCCTGGTCTGGCGGCAGATCCAGCGGCCTGACGGCCCGGTCTGGTGGCAGATCCAGCGTAAAACCAGGGGGGGGGGCTCACGGCGTGACGTCCCGCCCAGGCCTGGTATATTGTTCGCCGAGCTCGGGCCTGCGAGACCGACTTGGGGAATGTATCCCCCGAGCCCCTGAAAGGCAGTGCCGCCCGCCCGCCCGGCACTGCGAGGGCGAGAGGCGACGGTGTGACTTGTGCACGCACATGCAGAGAGCGACTCCGCCTGTGCTTACCAATGCGCCTCTGGCCCTCACGCAGAGCCCTTGAGACCGCGCTCTTGCACCACCCACGCGGCCACCACTGTGATGTCATCGACCTTGCCGCCCTCGAAGACGAGGCCGGCCTGTTCCAGCGCGCTGTCCTCGAACGGCACGTGCGCCGCAGGGTCCAAGCTGTGCGCACGCGCCAGCAGGGCGAGCTCCGTGGCCAGCCCACGGGGATCCGCGAGCCGCCCATCGGTACAGGACGTCAGGCGCTGGACCGCCTCCAGAATCTCATGTTCGTAGAGGTTGTCGCTGAAGCCGTCCGAGTAAAGGAGCAGGAGGTCTCCAGGGCGCACAGGGATGCGGTAGCGCTGGCAGTCGTCGGCCGTGTCCAGCTTCTGCTTCCTCGACAGCCTCTGCAGCGCTGCGGGCACCCGAAGGAGCTGAAACGGGAAGTTCCACCCGTGCTGCTGCTCAGCGGACCTGGTCACAATCCCAAAGCCACCGGGCGTGGCGCCACCCTCGACGAGGCCCGCGTCGACACGGCGGAGCAGCATGAACCCCGAGTCGCCCAAGCTGGCCACTCCCAAGCAGGAGCCGTCGAGGTGGGCGACGGTGATCGTGGACGCACCGTAAGTGCTGGCCCCGCGCTCTGCTGCGGCGATGGCTGCCAAGGCCCTCGCGTCTGGCTCCACCCGCGGAGTGGCGCAGGATGCGTCGCCACCGCTGTGAAGATCCGCCGACGCCAGTGCCATGAGCTCCTGCGCGTAATCCGCCGCAGAACACCCGTAGGACGCGAAATTGCCGATGCTGCTCACGCCGTCGGCGACTCCCGCTGAGCTCGACCCAACAAAGCAGGCGTCCTCACAGGTGTCGCCTTTCCCAATGCAACTGGAGCCCCCATGAAGAGTGTAGCCCAACGTGAACATGTGCGGCAGAAGTGTGGGCGTCGTCGGCATGGACCATGGCCACTCTGTGAACGCAGATTCCGCGTCGTCGAACTCCGTGCTGGGGGCATCGTCGACGTCCATCTCGAAGTCCTCCTCCACTGGGGAGGCCACCGCTTTTGTTGAAAGCGTGACGTGCCTTTCCTATGCGCCGAGGGCATCTACAGCCGACCACCACCACCTTGCTTGGCCAGGGCCATCCTGGACCCTGGCCTGGTGCGTACGCCTTCCTGGCCGAGACCAGAAGGGTCTGTGCACCATCGCAGGGCCCAGGATGGCCCTGGCCAGGCGCAGTGACGCTGTATATAGATACCTTCTGCGGATCCTCGCTCTGGTCGCCGAAAGTCACCTGCAGCAGATCTGCGCCGCCGCCACGGCTCGTGTCAAGCAGTACCGTCTCGCGGTTCGCCCCGGGCTCCCACAGCACGCTGCCATCCGCGCGGCGGACGGCGAGCTTCCACGCGACCTCTTGAGGGCAGTCGGCCAGGCTCTCCCCCCCGCGCCACCACGGGAAGGAAGAGGGGTCGGTGGACAGCCGAAGGCCAGCGTCGGGATCCCAGGCACCGAGCGCGGGATCCGCTCCGACCACCAGAAGCGTTTCTCCATACGAGGTGGCGTCGCAGAGGACCTCCCACACCACGGTGCGTCCTGCCACCCTCACAGGCCGCGCGGGCGCCTGGAGGCAGCCAGGGACCGCGCAGCCGGTCTCCTCGAAGTGGGCGAAGACGTAGCCCGAGGGGTTCGCGCTCAGGTGGCGGTTTGGACCCTGCTCCCATACGGTGACGGCCTCTCCTCCGGGGCCAGGCACCACAAGAACAAACTTGTACTCGATGGACCCAGCTGTTTCGAGAGCCAAGTGGACCGAAGCCTCCCACACAGAGCCATCCTTGGCCGAGGTGCTCATGGGTACACCCTTGCTGGGACACCAACAGCCAAGCCCATCACAGCTTCCCACCAAGCGAACGTCTGCACCAACCGATGCGTTCTGCACGCAGACGCCGAAAGTGACACTTCTGGTGAGGTCATCCTCCGGCGCAGAAAGAAGCCTCGGCCGAGAATGGGCATGCTTGGACGCGTTGCTGAGCAGACACATCCGCAACCGGGCCGTGCAGTCACCAGGGCACTCAACGTAATCACGACCTTGAACCGAAACGACTGCGGATGATGACGACGGTGGTGATGATGACGGTGACGATGGTGATGCTGATGAAGAAGAGGTGGCGACCAAGGTCCTGGAGGGTAACCTCACACGGGCAGAACAACGGAGGCCTCGCGTACCAGCAATATGACCACTGGGTGATGGCCTGCTTGGCACTACAGCTGGCAGCGCGCACCTCCGTCCACCGAGCTCCCTGGGCGGCAACGGCATCTGCCCTGGACGGTGGTGGCGGCGCCTCCTCCCCCACCTCCACCAACCCGCGGGATCGCTTTTTGTGGGCGAGGGCCTGTCTCCACATCTGTATTCCTCATGCTCGTCCTTCTGTGCCTCATGCTGGCCATCGCCGTCCTCCTGCACCCCGTCATACTCCTACTCGCCTTCCTCATCGTTTTCCCAACATGCTCCCCTCCACTGACTCCTCCCCCGCCTACTCTCTCCGCCTCTTCTCCTCGGCCTGGTTATTCCTATCATTCCTCCCCCTCCTCCTCCTCCTCCTCCTCCTCCTCCTCCTCCTTATCCTCCTCCTCCTCCCCATCCGCCTCCTTCACCTCCTCTCTTCGTTTTCCGCTTGTTCCCATCACACCTCCATCCCTTACCCACAATACCATCAACGTTCCTCTCCGCTCATCTTACTATCTGTGCCTCCACATCCTCATCATCCTCCTTCTCCGTCCCCGTGTTTGTCTTGAAATTCCCCATCGTGGGCATCCTCTCCTTTCTTCCTCATCCTCCCTTTCGTCATTATATCAGGAGCGCATCCGCAAAGCCGTCATCCTCGTCCTCGGCTCCGTTTTCGTTGTCGTCAACCTGTAGGCATCTTCCCCCGCCTTCTCTGGATCCGCCGTCCTTTTGTCATCCTCCTGGTCCCTCTCTCCTGCCCCTCCTCCTGCTGCCCGGCCTCTTTCCTCCTCCCCCCCCCTCCCCCTGCACTCCGCCTTCGCCTCATCTTCCTCCTCCTCCTCCTCCTCCTCCTTCCTCCTCAGCCTCTGTCCTCCTCGTCCTCTTCTACTCCTCGTCCTCGCATTCCTCCTCCGCCTCCTCCTCCTCCTCCTCCTCATCCTCCTCCATGACACCGCCCCCTGGACTCCTGGACCTCTCCTGACGTGACGAGCCGGGTCCAGCCGCGGCTACGAGGGAGGGCGCCCCAGGCGGACCAACAACTCATCAAAACCCCGATGCTCGAACTGGAAGTCCCTAGTGGAGGTCCCCGATGTTTCCCGTGATGTCCCCAGAAGACCTCTGGAGGACTCCGACAGGCAGAACAGATGACCCAACAAAAACACGGTCCTCGCTGATCCTCAATCGTCCCATTCCTCCTCCTCCTCCTCCTACTCCTCCTCCTCCTCTTCCTCCTCCTCCTCATCCCGCTGCTCCTCCCTCCTGCACTTCCTGTTCATGTTTAGGCCTTACCGCTACTTCGTCTGGGAGAGGTTCGAGGTGGCAACAGTGGCGACGAGGGAACGGTAGCGAGATCGGTAGCTGCCCCTCCTCTGACTTACGCCCCAAACAGACGAGGTGCTGGAGCGGGAGCATGGGTAAAGAACATTGGCATCCGGAAGCCGAGTTTTCATCCATGCCCCAGCACCTTCGCGTCCAGAGCTGGAGGCAGAATCAGAGGTGCCGTGCGGACGCGGTCGCCGGAAACCTGGCCCCGACAAATGGGGAGGACATCCAAGCGCCCTGGACGCAGCAGCTTATCCACGCCCGCGGGAAGGTCAACGCGCGGCGTGCGATGCGTGCGTAGCGAAAATGCCGAATGCACCCTGACGAAAGGCAGGTGTGGCCGGCTCCGGGAACCCCGAATCCAAACATGCTCGGGCGGTGCGCTCAGGGGGGGCAGGGGAAGGGGGGGGGGAAGCTTCTCAGAAGGATGCCGCTTCTTTCGGGGGCGCGCAAACATGGATTAACGATCAATGGATTTGGCGCGCGGTCGCCAAGTCCATGGATCGGGGGAGGTGCCCTCCCCAAAAAGCGGCCGGTGCCGCCTCGCTCGGCGGCGGAAATCCGCGATTCGCCATGGAAACGGGACCCGTCGCTAATCCACGCCCCCTGAATCCATGTTCGGGATCGCCTGAAAGAAGCAGGGGTGCTTCGAAGAAGCCTCCCCTCCTCCCCCATACACCCCTCTGCGCGTGGTCGAGAGAGGTGAGAACGAGGGGAGGAAGGGGGAAGAGGGAAGGGCGAGGACCGGAGGAGTATACATTTCTGGAAGGCAGCTTCGGTTGAATCCCATTGCATCATACGATATGGCGTTCCAAGGGGTCGAGGAAGGAGAAGGATCCCATGAAGGACAATCCAGGAAGGAGCATGATGAGGACGAGAGAAGAGACCACAAGACGATCTCTCGAGTGCTGGCATCTCTCGGGTCGGGCGAAAGGGGGGGATAGCAAACGGGGGGGTTTGAGAATCAGCTCACGTGGCTGATTTTCCCGGCGCCTCCCGGCGCCGGAGGCGGCTATGTATCGAGGAATGGGCCCCTCGGTGAGGCCGAAACCAGCTGCATGCAACACATTTCGTAACCCCCCTTTCCCAATCCCCCCCCTTTCGTCCGGCCCGAATCTCTTGAGGGCGCATCTCCTGCTTCCGCCGCCTTCCGCCGGCCTCCCGCCGGCCTGCCACGGGCGGAGCGCCCCCCGTGTCGCTGCCGCGGCCTCCCGCCGCCCACGGCGCCGAAGAAGAGGAGAGGCCCACTCCTCCGAGCCCTCGGGTGCGAGGCCCTGCCCCCAGCGTCGTTAAAAAAATCAGGACGGGAGGTTTTTCATCATCTTCGGCCTCGGGAGGCCCTCGCCGGGCCTCAGGACCGTCAAAAAAAGACTCGGGATGAAAAACCGGTCCTGGGGAACGGGTCGGGACTTCCAGGGACCCCGTCCTGAAAAAAGTTTAGACGTCGCATGTCTGGGACTGGAACGCCCCATGGGCTGGCTTCCGGAGGATGGGGCCTCCCAAGTGGGATCCCAGCAGGTGGGGTCAGAGGATCGCGAGGCCGAGCCGCATCGCCGAGGCATGATGCGTCACGATCCTCCGACCCCTTCTGCTTGGACCCCACCTGGGAGGCCTAGATCTCTGGAACGCCCCATGCCCTGGCGTTCTCTGATGCGTGCCCCCCCTTGTACAATCAGATCTGGGCCAGAAGAACGTCCCTCGAGAACATGAGACCCTTTGCCGGCCAAGACACACACACACACACAGAAGATCCAACGGTACCCTCCGCAGGGTGCACAAGGACGTTCCACAAACACGACGAACACCAGGGCACCCTCCCCGAACCGACCACGACCTTCTACCTTGATCCGCCAACTGTATGGATGACATTTCGATGCCCTGCTCTTCCTCTCCTGCCCTGCCGCTCCCGGCTTGCCGCTGCGGCGGCGGGCGCGGCGCGGCGCCTTCTTGTCGGCCCCGCCGTGCCCGGGCCACCTGTGTGGCCGGCGGAGGGCTGCCTCAGTCATTGCCCCTGTGCCTGGAGCGAGCGAGCGAGCGGCCGAGGGCGCTCCCGGAGGGCCCACGCGAGGGCCTCGAGAGGCAAGAGACAAGGATGCTCCCTGCGGTTGTCGATGCTCTTCGCGTGCTCCCCTCGTCGAGCCTCCGACGCTCCACGACCGCCCGAGAGGCCCCCAGGAGGGCCCCCGGACGGCCCAGGAGAGGTCCCCAGAGGTCGAGAGGCAAACTGGGGCAGGGGCCGCGAGCGGCGGCCCGAGGGGATCGGCGGCCGCGCACAGCCTGCCCCCCCGCCAGTCCTGCCGCAAAGGGGGCCCGACGCCGCCCCTGTATGTCAGCACGGGAGGGGCGCGCACGTCAAGCCCTCGGCAAAGCATGCAGAGGGGCGGCGAGTCATCTGGATAGTGAGGCCGGTGCGTGGATGGATCTATCAGATGGTTGTGCCAACACCTGCCCCGTCGGTTGTCCCACTGGTTGTCCCGATGGTCGTCCCGATGATTGTCCCGACGGTCGTCCCGATAGTCAGGTCGACAGGTACATGGTATAACTTGTAGTGGAACTAGTGAGACGATGAACTGGATCGGTGATAACATTGTTATATATATATATATATATATATATATATATATATCTATATATCACTAACAATGTCGAAACAATGGCTGATCTGGGTTGTTCTGCCTCGAATCCTCCCGATACATACATGCGTGGGTACATCTATCAGTTGTATGACCGACATATGTATTCGTATAGATTTAGAAAGAGAAAAAAGAAAGAGAGGGAGAGAGGGAGAGAGAGGGAGAGAGAGGGAGAGACAGAGAGAGAGACAGAGAGAGAGAGAGAGAGGATCCGCCACCTTTGTGTCCCAATGCGTGTCCGTTCAGAATTCATTTGCGCGCCCACTGCAGATCACATCTGGTGTCACTCCAACCTCCTCATGCTCATTTAGATCAGCATTTCGGAGAGAACGCGTTTCGCGGGGGGGGGGTCTTGGGAACATTCGGCGGCGCGTTGCGAACCAGGGGGTGCCCCCCCCCCCCCCCAACACTCGGCGCCGTCGATCAAAACCACGGGGACTCCCCTCCCCCCCGAACCCCCCCCCCTTCCCGAACCCCCCACTTTCCCGAACCCCCCCCTTCCCCCCTCCCAAAGAGGGGGGGTTCAAACCCCCCCCCCCTGGCGCCGGCGCCGGCGCTGGCGGCCGCCAGCAGCACCGACGGCGGGGACGCAGCGACGATGAACAGAGGCAGCCGGGGGGGGGCTTGGAAACCCCCCCCCTCCCCCCGGCGCCGGCGCCGGCGCTGGCGGCGGCCAGCAACGCTGGCTCTGGCGCCGGCGACGGCGGGGACGCAGCGACGATTACCACAATTACCACCACCGCCACCACTACCTACACGTGCGTCTTACAGATGCACGGCTTTTGACCTGACCTGGCCACCACTACCACCACCACCACCGCCTCAACCCACCACCACCACCACCAACCCAACCACCACCACAACCACCACCACCACCACCACCACCACCACCACAACCACCACCGCGTCATCATCACCACCACCACCACAAAAACCCACCACCACTACCACCACCACCACCACCAATTTACCACACCACAACCACCACCGCCACAACCACTACCACCACTACCAGCAGAACAACCCACCACCACCACAACAAACCACCACACCACCACCACCACCACCACCACCACCACCACCAACACCACCACCACCACCAGCAACACCTCCACAAACCACCGCCGCCACCACAACTCACCACCACCACCACCACCACCACCACCACCACCACCACAAACCACCACCACAACATCACCAAATCACCACCACCACCACCACCCACCACCACAACCACCACCACAACCACACCACCACAACAAACCACCACACCACCACCACCACAACCACCACCACCGCCACCACCACCACAACCACAACCCACCACCACCACCACCACCACCACCACCGTCGTCCTCGTCGACGCTCCTCGCCGCCGCCCGCCGCCGTAGGCGCCGGCGCCGGCCCAGAGAAACAAAAAGTCGTCGTCCCAGCCGCCGCCGCAAGCCGCCGCAGACGCAAGCGCCGGCCCGAAGAGAGGGGAAGCAGGGGAAGAAAAGGGGGTGGGGGGGTGTTCGAACCCCCCCCCTCCGTCACGGGAAGGGGGGGGGTTCGACCCCCACCCCCCCTCCATCAAGGGGGGGAGGGGGTCCGGTTTCAACCCCCCCTCCCCTCCAAGCGACAACAAAACGCGCTCTTTCGCATATAGGGCACCATTCCGCTTGGGCTCCCAGGACCTTATGAGAACGCGGACAGTTCCGCAATTGACAACGCCCAGGGAGCGGTGTAATAGTTTGGGTATGGGAAAGGCGCTGCTCCGTTGGACTTCCCACGCGCTCACAAGGAGTGGCGACAAATGCGCAGCTGGCGGCTCCCAGAGAAAGAAAGCGGCGAAGAAGCGAAGAAGAGGCGGAAAAGAACCGAACATGCGGCGAGAAAGAGCGGAGGTGGGAGCCGACAGCGGGGAGGGGAGGATGGCAAAAGTCAAAGGAACGTTTGGGGGGAGGGGGGGCACGGTTCGGAACTCGGAGCTCTGGGGAACTGGTCATGCAAGCACGAAGCCAGTTGAAAGGAAGAGGTCGGCCTGACGTGAACATCCCCTGCTGGAGCCGAATCAGACACAAGAGGGCGAAACCTATTGTTCGGAAGAGCACGTTTTAAGAAACACTCCTCACCAGCTGATGTTAGCCTCGAGTGACCCTCAACCTTTTTCAAAGCTCTTGGCGGCTGACGAAGCTTGCGTCGTTACGGCGGGCGCATGCGGGCGCGAGGCGTGCGTTTGCAAGGCGGGCGCGGCCAAACAAAACATTCCGAGTATGGGGTATGGTAGCCCGTTGGCATCTCAAACGGCTCTATAGAGATAGAGGGACCGACAAGGAAAAAATGAACGCAATGTTAGCCTGCGGATCACGACGCCAGAGGTGTGGGTCCTCTTTCTTCTCCTCTTCTCGTCCTCCTCCTCCTCCTCCTCCTCCTCCTCCTCCGATCCCTCTTCGGCCTCATGTTTCCCCCCCCCTGCTCCCCCACAAACCTGCGGCGCCTGGGCCGCCGGCCGATGAGGAAAAGGGCGCGGGAGGGGGGTGGGGGTGGCGCGAGGGAGAAAAAAGGTCGACCTTGCCAACATGGCGTCTTGCACCCAACTCTACACCAGCGGGCTCTCGGGCTCCAGCTCTCGCCGAGCTCTAGCCTCCACCGCCTGGGGCGTCTGAGCACGGACCTTCGCCAGAGTGAGCCCAAGGGAGGCGAGCGCATGGAACGGGACGGCCCTGCTGAGGCCCGTCGGCGGTGGGCGCTCGGGGCCCGACCTCTTCAGGGCGGCCGAGGACCCGTCGAAGTGCCCGCCCAAAACTCGTTCGCCTGGTCAGAAGGGTGGCCAGGGCACCAAGGAAACCTTTCCCTTGGTCAGGGTGCCGCCTCACCGACAAAATTGCATTTGCAGGTGTTTGGTGCGCTGGCGGCGATCGGGGCGCGCGGGCGCGGCTCGGCCAACCCCGGCTCCTTTTTCTCGGACGCGTAGCCGAGCAGCGCAAGCCGTGCAAGATCGTGCTCAGCGCGGGCTAGGCAGCCCTCCTGGTCTCGTCGGTCTGGCAGGCGGGCGCCGCGACGATGAGGTAGCCGCCAGCTCGCCGCGGCGGGAGGGCTGCCCCGCGGCAGCGGAACCCGCCGAGGCAGGGCGGCGGCGCGCCGCCCTGCCCAGGGCCTCCGAGCGGGGCCCGGCTCCACCGTCCGGGGCGGGCAGCTGCGGAGGCGGCGGCGGGGCCGCCGCGGCCTGCGAGCCGCTTGCCGCGGGCTCCTCGTCCAGGAGCTGCTTCGCCTGCTGCTCCAACTTGAGACTCGGCGGAACCGCCAGCTTGCCGCTCGGCTGCTCGAGCTAATGCTCCTGGTCGTCGCAGATGTCGTTGGATTCTGGGGGATTCGCCCAGGGCGATGATCCTGAGCGCCTCTACCCACATGCTGTTCCCGATCCCGTTGTCACTGAGCATCGCCTCCTGCGTGCCAGCAAAATGCCCAACATCCCTTGCGATGTGAGGCACCCCTCTTGAACAATAATGTCATCTTGGCTGGCTTGGGCGAGAAGTGCGCCGGCCTTGGCGCCTTGCGTATGCCGGCCAGTTGCATCTGCGCGATGTGCCCGTCTGTCACTGGGTCCTGACCAACGTGTGTCTTGACACTGCTGACTTGGACCCCTTCCAGCTTGTCGCCGAGCCCAGTCCAGATGCGCGCTCGCTGCTCCACGGGCCCATCTGCCCTGAGCGGAGCCGTGGCGCAGCGCGCCGTCGCAAGACAGTCGCCGAGCAACCTTGGTCGCCAGCTGCGACCTTGTCCTCCGCCAGCATTTTGTCCGCGAAGTCCCCGCCGCCATGCGGTAGCTGCCCCGGCGCTTGATCGAACGGGGCCGCCCCCCCAGCTGCCGCCAGACAGCGGCGACTGGGATCGCAGACGCCTGCCGCCCAGCTGGCACCGCGCAGGGCCGGGAACGCTTGGTCCACGCATTTGCCGTCGACGAAGACGTCGGGGCCGAGCTCGAGGAACGGGGCGAGCTGGCGCCATGAAACCGCGCAGCGAAACTCCATGTCTCGGGCCCTCTCGGGCCCCCGGAAAAGTCCCTTCACGTTCGGGTTAAGGCCGCGCGCGAAGGACTCGGTGAACAGGTAGCCCAAACCCCGAACCGCCTTCGCTGCCTCTTTGAAGTTCTGGACGAGGGCGTTGCGCCCCGAGGTCTTGTGAGCGGAGCGCTTGAAACCCATGTGGAAGCGAGCTGTCATCGTACGAGCAAAACTGGCAGTGCCCGGGGGCGGTCGGGACCCTGGCGCCCGCTCTTGCCTGGCGCTAGAAGACATTCTGGATGGGCACCCACAGGGCCCGCTGCTGCTACTTGCCCCCATGCCTGAGTCTCGTGAC